GGTGTCGATAGCCTGGATGATGTTAAAAATCATACGTACAATGAATTGTTTGTGTCTGGTGGTTTTATTGTGTCTGATGAATCAATTCTAAATCCAGAGGTGGTCACAATTGGTAAGATGATGCATGCTTTTGAGCATGAAACTTTGCTCTTATGCTTTTTAATGTTATTTTGCCATTCCCAGGAAACTAGTATGTTTTAGTCTTTTTCTGAGCTCTCATTACTTCAAATTCCTTTACCATTCTCTTAGTCTTTACAAATAACCCTAAATTTGGTGTCAACAAGTCTCTGTACCTGCTGCAGTTGGATCATGCCTGGTTTGTTATTGTTATCAGTACATTCTATTTTATTTTTTAATTTTTTTTTTTTAGTGTGTAGTGGTTATGTTCATTGAGCTGTACAGATACGTAGATCTCTCTGAGGGTAAAGAAGAAGAATGAAAATAGTACATAGGAAAGTAGGTGTTTCTGTACATTATGAACAAGTACTTCTTCCATAATTGTGGAATGACTGTTACTTATTGAATTTAAAATGAATTCATTATCTTCATTATCTCTACAGAGAGTCTTAAAAATTTTTTGACATTCCTTGAAGAACTTAGTACCCCAGAAGGAAAATGGCAATGGAAAGTCCACTGTAAATTTCAGAAAAAACTAAAGGAACTAGGCAGGTAAGATTTGGAAAATTAATTATAATGGTTATTGCTTTTAACACTGTGCTCACAAGATTTCTTTCTTTTGCTGTTATTTATAGATTATAGACATTCCTCAGTTTTCACAGATGTCTGTAGCCAGCCATAAGGGAATACAGATACTGAATTATTCTAGCCTTTATAAGAGGAAAAAGTATATTTTAAGTAGAGGTTTGGTGCAGTTCTTAGTTAGATGTATGGGTAAAATTGGTTCAATCTTTGTCACTCGTAGGTTTAGAATCATCATTAGTATGTAGTGATTGGCATTTTTTTTCCTGAACAGACCTGAATATGTCAATTAGATAGGTCGTCCTCCAGTTGAGGACTATCTTGGGTAGCTAATAAAGTCACATTTGGGCAAGGATTAACCTTGACCTTATGAGGATTTGTGAGTAGGGCATTCACTTATGTATATAAAATTTATAACATGCTTAGAAGTCACTTCTCAAAATGAAAAACTGGGTGGGATCCCCACTAGTCACTTGAGAGATTCTACAAAATGATTAAAGTAATCAGATGAATTTGAAACTCCACTAGTAAATTAAAATGTATTTATGCATTAAAGGATCTGAGAAACTCTAGTTAAGAATTTGGTTTTTGGCTCAGCGCCTGTGGCTCAGGCGGCTAGGGCGCCAGCCACATACACCTAAGGTGGCGGGTTCGAATCCCCAGCCCAGCCCCACCAAACAGTGATGGCTGCAACCAAAAAATGGCCAGGCGTTGTGGCAGACGCCTGTAGTCCCAGCTACTTGGGAGGCTGAGGCAGGAGACTCGCTTGAGCCCAGGAGTTGGAGGTTGCTGTGAGTGTGATGCCATGGCACTCTACCCAGGGGGATAGCTTGAGGCTCCGTCTCAAAAAAAAAAAAAAAAAAAAAGAATTTGGTTTTACAGTGTCAATCAACATTTTCTAAATTTAGACCACAAAACTTTTATTTTGAAATACCTATTAACATCCCATGGTATACTCTACAGAAAATTCAGACTAGATAATTTTAAAGTATTAAACTTTTTGTAGCAGTTCACTTTTATTTAAAACTTGTTCATGGTTAAAGCCTATAAAGCAGGCTTAGGGTGAGTCTTACACAGAGAACAAACACTGAGACCCAAAGGTGTGTGACTTGTCCAGAGTTATCAGTAACCTCATCTTCCTGACAACAATGTATTACAGTTTTTAAAGGAAAAATTTATACATTTTTGGCTCTTGAGTCCTACCTTAAAGTTAGTAAATTAGTAAAGCTAAAGGTAACTAATTTCTTATGTAGTAAATAGAATGACTCAGATTTTAGTCTAACCTGAAAAGCTGGCCCACAGCCCTATTACCAAGAAACCTCTAGACCAAGTGGTTCTCAATCTGTGGGTTGCGACTCCTAACAATGAAAATACATCGCAGCATTAGGAAGGTTGAGAACCACTGATCTAGACTTATACAGTTCTTACTCAGCCTCTCTCCTAAGAATCATCCGTACATCAGGCAGTGAGCTAAAGCAGTGCAGTTGTTATTAGTAGCCTCAGTTGAGAAATTAAGTGTTTTTTTTTTTTTTTTTTTAAACAGAGCCTCAAGCTATCACCCTGGGTAGAGTGCTGTGGCATCACAGCTCATGGCAACCTCCAACTCCTGGGCTTAAGTGATTCTCTTGCCTCAGTCTCCCAAGTAGCTAGGACTGCAGGCGCCTATCACAAGGCCTGGCTATTTCTGGTTGCAGCCATCGTTGTTTGGCAGGCCTGGGCTGGATTCGAATCCGCCAACCCAGGTGTATATGGCTGGTGCCTTAGCCACTTGAGCCATAGGCGCTGAGTCAGAAATCGAGTTTTAATCCCTAGCAAAAATGTCCATACTAAATTTTAGAAGTGCAGACCCAGATACTGAACTGCTTAATTTTGCAGATTGAACGCTAAAGCTCTAAGTCTCTTGACACTTCTGAATGTCTATCAGAAGAAACATCTGGTTGAAATTTTGTCATATCACCATTGTGATTCACAAACTCGAAGTGCTCCAGAATTGGATTGCCTTATTAGACTTCAGGCTCAGAACATACAGCAACGACACATTGTCTTTTTAACAGGTAAAGAAAAGAAAGCACTTGTAAGCTTTCTTACTATTAATATAAGAGTGTGGACAAAAGGATTTTATGGGGCTGTGGTGGGTGGTGTTAAGCTATGATTCTGAAAATGTGGAAGAAAAGGATTTGTGAGGGCTTGAGGGCAGGCATTGTCATTTATCCTTCCTTCACACTTTCAGTGTTTTATATATGAATTTTTTTTTTCTTAAGAGAAGAACATCAAGATGTTTTCCAGTTATACAGATAACGGAATAGTGGTTGCAACTGCTGAAGACTTTATGCAAAACTTTAAAAATCTTGTGGGCTATCACAACTCAATTACAGAAGAAAGCCTTCCACAGCTTGGTGCTAATGAGACTCTTGAGTCGCAGTCAGGTAACTTTTCAGTAGTTTTCATTTTCTTTAGGGCAGAGAGAAAAAGAGGAATGGTTTTCCTGTTACCAAATAATGAAAATGCCTGTTTTGAAACCACTCACCTCAGTGTAAACAGCCTTAGGGAAAGTGTTTCAAGACATTATTTATTGTTCTTAGTACTTTTAGCATGCACAAGAATGGCTCATTTATTATACCAGTCAATAAAAGTTGTTAGTTACTATAGACTATGCACTTCTGTCTGAACTATAGACCATACATACTATGAAGTATGCATTTTCTTTTTGAGAATATGGAAGCATTATTGGCTGCTATAACATGTTAGCAAAGGGGTCATACTAAGGAAAAAGCAGGAAACCAGATACAGAGATTTAGCAATAGGCTGCTAAGTCTCGTGTGTGTAAGGCAATTTAATTTCAGGACAGTAGAGCTGTCATAGTTTTAGTCTTTTGTGAGATGGCCTCTGCTTTGGTTCCAGGTTTTATATAAAATGAAAGACATACTTTTGTTTTTGATGAAAAGCAGAGATGATCGAGCATTCAATAGAGCTAACCATTTTAGTAATCCAGTGAAGCTAGATGTCAAAAATTTTACTTTGTATTTGTCTTGTCAAATACTGAATTACCGTATAACTTTAGATGCTGTTTTGACATTAACCCCTTTGGAGCTGGGAGTTGGGATTTCCCAACATTAAACGTGAACACATTTCGCAGAAGCTTTTAGCATCGGATTATCTGGACATTCACACCTAGTGTGAGTGTTGTGACTAAGTGAACTTGTGGCAGAAGACCAAGCTTTAAGGGATTGTGGACTTGCAGACCCTGACGCGTTATATTGTGTGAGTAGTGTATAATTTTAAAACTTAAACAAATTGTGTATTTCAATAGAGGAGGACTTTTTGTTTTTAAATGTAGCTCTTTTAGAAAACGATGAAAAGGATGAAGAGGATATGTCTCTGGATTCAGGGGATGAAATCTCACAAATAGAAGTATACAGCAATTTTCATTCAGAAATACTGGCGAAAGAGACCAAAGCATCACGTGGAACAGAACAAAAAATGAATATTCAAACTGAGTTACAATCATCTGTTGACGTGCAAAATGGTTTATTAGAAGATAAGACTAATCAAATTGATTCTGAAGAGAGCGCTCCTATTGATATAGTATACTCTGAAGGAGAGAACAGCAATTCAACAGAACAAGATTCATATAGCAATTTTCAGGTTTATCATAGTCAATTAAATATGTCCCATCAGTTTAGTCATTTTAATGTTCTCACTCATCAGACATTTTTGGGGACACCATATGCCCTTTCATCAAGTCAGTCTCAAGAAAATGAAAATTACTTTTTATCTGCTTATACTCAAAGCTTGGATAGAGAGAAGTCTCCATCTCCATTAAATTTGGGAAAAAGTGATTCTTCCAGGCCATATTCGAAAGAGAAATAATTAATTTTTTTTAATAGTTGTTGTGGACTTTTTCTGTTTCTTAAAAGTGAATTAACAATTTATATTTCATTTTCTAAAAAAAGGTTTCTTGCCCTTTCCCAAATGTTTTTTTCTTTTATTTAAATCATGATGGCCTGTAACAGTTGAAGCATCTAAAAATTGAAATAAATATATATTTTAACATATATTGTACTTGAATTATCTCATGTTGGCACTTTTTTGAGTTTTACATTTGTACATGTCACCTGTACTTGAGCTTCAAATTGAAGCCTGTCTTGTATGTAAAATCACATGTTTACAGAAGGATGATAAAGAAAAATGTCTTTTTTCTCAATGTCAGATGATAAAAAACTTTTACTGAAATTAATTAGCAACTATTTATTTTGATTTAAGCTTTTGTATAGTGTTTTTACACAGGTATAAGCCAGTGATGTTAATAAATATTTATAGGATTTTTGGCTCAATACCTCAAGATTTATCTAACAGTATACTTTCATTTAGATAATGTAAGCCATGTATATAGAACTTCCTATCAAGCAGCATTATTTTTTATCTTTAGGCTTAGCCAAGTAAAAATTGCCTGTCACTAAAATTCAGGTAACTTTTTCAGAGTATTTGATAATTTTCAGTGCTTGTGAAAGGATCACATTTCAAAAGACAGTTTTTGTCTATCAAAGTGGACAATGTGGAACAAACTTAGATTTAAAAAATTTTAAAATTGGTGGTCTTAGTAGTAGTTTATTAAGCACATTAGTGCTCTAACTAGATACTAGATAGAGTGGAAATCTTAACAACTGCCTATTACTGTTTTTTAAAAATTAGCATCATAAACCCCCTAGAAGTCTGCAATGAATTTTTTGTAAGGTACCTCAAAAGTACTGCTGGTAGAACAGAATGCATGAGTGATATTTCAATCAGTAAGTTCCATAAAAGTATGGAAGAGCATTGTTAACAGGGCAGGAACTCCAAACTATAATAAGGTAAGTAGAAAGTATTACAGCACTTACGTACCCAGATTGTGACAGAGCAGAAATTTTTTTATACAGACTTTCACAAAAATTGTTTTATTGTATAAAGTATAGCACTTATAAATAATGTACAAGTTTTTAATGAGCATTTAAAAAATCTAGGCTAATTAAGAAATACAGCTGAGCCACAAACATATTTTATAATTTGGAAGACACAAATTGTTAAGGATTTGGTTTTCTACATTTAAAACGAAGAACTAAAATTCTCTTCTTGATTTTCAGCTAAAGGCATGAGATTAGTTTCCAATTCCTTTTGCTTCTGGAGAAGGCCCTGAAATCACATTGATATGTTAGTAAGGTGTGCAGCCAACTTGAAAATTCACATTTCTGTCCTGTTGATCTAGTTATATTTATGTGGAAAATACTATATAATAAGCTCAGGATGGAATCTGTGTCATTGAAGTTTTATTATTCAACAGATCACTAGACATTGGGATGTTATGTAGGTATTATTATATTTTTAAAGACTTTCATACCTATAGGGATAAGATAAAGGCCTCCCTTATTCCCACCTTGAAGTGCTCTTAAAATGGTGACTGCACTAATCTTACCTTAGTGAATTAAAATGTTAAGGAGGTATCTAATTCAACAGCCCTACTGAAATAAGACTATAGTGCTGGGTAAATGTATATATATCACTCTTTACCCCTCACAACTACTGTTTAAGCTAGAGATTAAAAAAAAAAAAACTTGGCTGAATTACTTAAAAACTAGCATTTAAAAACCTAAGATTACTTTGTTTTCACATGAGTAATTTTCTAGATGGAGGGAAAGAAGGGGTAAGCACTATCTGAACCAACATTGTGAAATACAGAGGTTGTCCCCAGAGACAAATGGGAAATGCCCACATTCCGTCCAATTTAGCCTTTAAGCTCCAGTAAAAGTGGTACCCATCCTTTAAATGTGTTGGTAAATGACAGGACATGGAAAAGGATACTCCTTAAACAGCACAGCTCTTTGTATACAATGAATTAAAACTAATTGCAGAATCAAATTGCAAACTATCAAAGTTACTAACTTAGCTCCAAAGCTGTAATTTTTACCTATTATTATAACAGCAAGATAATGAGAAGTCACAATAATTGATCTGGGAGAAAAAGTCTGGTTATGCATATAATTTCACACTGAATTAGTCTTTGAGACAGACAAATGTTCTGTTTTTAAACACATTTTTAAAAAGCATGGGCTGTGTTGCTAAGAATTCATTAAGCATAATTGTGAATTTTTTGTCTTTGATTTTAGGGCCATGTTAATCATGTTTTGCCATTCAAATGTATGCATTTTTTACTCAATAAATTTGTCTTAATATTAGAATTGTCTTGTGATGTCATATTCTTAAAGATGATAATGTGACAGTCCCATTTTTTTCTTAAAAACTGAGGTGCAGGTGTAGCTCAAGGCATCAGCCCCATACACCACGGCTGGTGGGTTTGAACCTAGCTTGCTAAATGACAACAAAAAAAATAGCCAGGCATGGTGGTGGGCGCCTGTAGTCCCAGTTACTGGGGAGACTAAAAGAGAATTAAGCCTGAGAGTTGGAGGTTGCTGTGAACTGTGATGGAAGACATAGTAAGACTCTTATCTCAAAAAAAACTGGGGCGCAGTGAAGCCACATTAAACAGCCACTCAGTCCATCCTGTGATAAAGAACAGTTCTTACCTGTCTCAGTTCTGAAAGTCCCTTAAGGATTGCTTGCTGTCTATCTCTGTTTTTCACCAAGTTAGGATTAAGAAGTGGATCCCTGACATGGTCAGAGTCAAATAGCTGCAGTTGTTCTTGATCACAATCTGAAGCCAGATGAAAGTGACAAAAGTCAAATACATTCACAGTGATAATAGCCAGATGCTACGGTATTCTAAGGGTTCGTTAAGAAATTTATTCCCAACTCTCCTGAGGCAACCCTTAGTAAGACTTTTCAGAACAAAGGGCAGAAATCACTAGTTTGGAAGTTCAATTTTTAGAGTAAGAATACTTAGATTTACCTTGTACGTTTGGGTATTGAGTGTCATCTGTTGAAGGCCTAGACAATGGAGCATCTGGATCAAGGTAATAGATTTCTTTTGTTCGTACATAGGGAATAAAATGGGATGATGGTTCTGTTTGACTGTCTCCTGAGACTGGATTCTCTCTGTCAATGCTACTGTTTTTTACTGGTAAGGGTAAAGTATTACCCTGAGTTTGTTGGGTTCTGTTTTTCACTGCTGGAATTGGTGATGATTGAGACCTATTTAAAAAAAAAAAAATGGACTAAGAAGCTTTAATTCAAAAATTATCTCTTTAATAATCACATTTCAATTTATGCTAAATAGACCTCTAACACTTTAAGGAATATTAAGTATTGAAGCTCAAGTTCTATTTATTTTATGGAAAGTTACTGTAGGATAACAGAATGGGAATAATTTGTGTTTTTACTAGTACTAGCTCATATAGGAACTTGTCCTTATCCCCTGGAAAACCAATACCACTTAAGTCAAATGGGAAATGCCCACATTCCATCCAATTTAGCCTTCAAGCTCCAGTAAAAGTGGCACCCCATCCTTTAAAACCTCTACCCTTCACCCAGAACACCCTTTCCTATTACTATCTTCATATACATCTGCCTAATACCACTTAGATCTTTGAATTTTGAGGTTTCTTTTTTTTTTTTTTCCCAAGGGACAGGGTCTTTTGCCCAGGCTGGAGTGCAGTGGTACAATCATATTGAGCAGATATTTTGTACTTTTGTCCCACATACCACTAACTAATCTGGTAGCGTACCTTTCCTTGCTGGGTAAGTTAATTTTCAGAGGCTCTTCCTCCTAAAAGACAGATAAAAACAAATCAAACCCAAAGAGGAATTTTCATCATTTCCACATATCCCCACCAATATTTTCAGTGGTTACTTGTTGAAATAATTTGAGCTAATATTTGAATACCAGTGTACAATGGAACAGAAATGTATTATTTTAGACTAATCCTAGAATTCCCAATCTCCCAAATTATCCTCTGGACTGACTATAAACAAGCATTTTAAATGGATATTTTAATAACGAGTAGCACTCATCCTACAGAAGTTTTAAGTTAAATTTTCCTCCTTTTTGGAGGGCCATATGGTCTCCACTGTTCTATAAAACTCTGCTGTCTGTTAACAGCATGAAACCAGCTATATAGACAGTGTGGCTGTGTTGTATAAAACTTTATTTACAAAAATAGGCAGCAAAGTAGATTTTGCCCATAGGCTGTAGTTTGCTGATCCCTAACAAAAACCTAAAGCAAATTTCTATTAACTCTTATGTAAACTGCCTTATCAAAACATGTACAGGGGGAACTGTGTTTTGAATCTAGAAACATCAACACTCAGCCTACTTAGAAATGTCTTTTTTAAGACAAAAGAGCTTTACCTTTTTGACTAGATGCCACCTGTACTTTGACTCAGTTTCCTGATGAGATGAATAAAGAACTTCTGGTGACATGCCTCGAGAGAGGTGTCCAGGATTATTTCTTTCTACCAAATGAAGCAGTTCCATTTGTCTTCTTACTTTTTTTTCTTCTCTCTGCTTTTGAAGTTGTTTAGGGTACTTTTCTGATGCAGGAATATACCTTTTGAGTGGCTTATTTATGTTCCAATCAGGCCTTTTATGGTATTTCTTCATGTGTTTTGTTTGTTTCTCTGTTCTTGTGTACTGATTACACTGATCATTATACCAACTGTTTTCTTTTTCTAAGTTGGCTCCTTTATCCTGACTTAGTTCTTGCTTGTTCTTCTTAGTATTAAACTTCCCACAAAATTCTGCTGATATCCCGGGAGATGAGCAATTTATAATTTCCTTCTCTATTAATGATCCACCATGTGATTCTGCATTGATGAATACTCCCGTATTTAGGTCATCTTAAAAAAAAACACCAAGTGATTTGTTTAAAAAAAAAAAATAATGTAACGAAATCTACCATTTTATCCATGTTTCCCCAAAGAGATTAAGTAATTTTATTAGTTACTGCCCTAAGACTGCTTTTCCTTAGTTTTCAAAACTAAAACTCTGTATGTCCATTAAAGAATAACTCCCCATTTCCCACCACCAGCCTGTCTAGCAACCACCATTCTGTTTTCGGTTTCTATCAATTTACTATACTTCATGTAAATGGAGTCACTTTTTTTTTCTTCTGTTTTTGAGACAGAGTCCCACTCTGTTGCCCAGGCTAGAGTGCCACTGATGTCAGCCTAGCTCACAACCTGAATCTCCTGGGCTCAAGAGATGCCTGTGCCAGCCTCCCAGGTAACTGGAACTACATACAGGTGCCCACCACAACACCTGGCTAGTTTTCTAATTTTAGTAGAGATGGGATTTTGCTCTTGCTCAGGCTGGTTTCAAACTCCTGAACTCAAGCAATCTTCCCACCTCAGCCTCCCAGGGTGCTAGGATTATAGGCATAAGCCACCATGTCTGGCCCACATTTATCTTTTTGTGACTGGCTTATTCACCTAACATAATGTCCCTAAGGCTCATACATGTTGTGGCACATGTCAGAATTTCCTTCCTTTTTAAATGCTAAATATTTCATTGTGTGTAATATACACCACAATTTGTCTTTAACAGAGATACCCAAATACCTACTTCTAGTTTTCTGGAGTACATACCCAGAAGTGGAATTGCTTCATAAGGGTAATTCTACTTTTAAATTTTTTTTTTTAAACACAATCCTATAGATTTTTACTTATTTATGTATTTATTTATTGCAGTTTTTGGCTGGGGGCTGGATTTGAACCCGCCACCTCCAGCATATGGGGCCAGCGTCCTACTCCACTGAGCCACAGGCGCCACCCTCTACTTTTAATTTTTTGAGGCCCTGCCGTATTTTGTATAGCAGCTGCACTGATTTACGTTTCCACCAACAGTACACAAGGATTCCAATTTCATACAAGCCTCCATCTTAACCATTTTTAAGCACTTGAGGGTCATGAGGCATACCTACAATGTTGCACAGTCACTAACACCAACATCATATGATACGGCTGGTTTGGTATTACAGTAAAGTCTAAAATTAATTGGCAGAATATGTTAGAAAAAGAATTTCCTTACAAGATTTTGGGTTTGTGGCTACCCAACTCCAGAGTGTCTTGGATAATATTCTCTCCTAACCTACAGCAAACCAAATTGGTTTTTGTCTCTTAAGTTACCACGAGATGCTTAAGGACTAACACTTGACAGAAGGCTCTACTTGTAACTAGTTTAAAAAGTGAACAAGTTTTGATTTCCTATAAGTTAAAAAAAAAAAAAAAAGATTTCCAAGACAGGTAGAGGGCTGAAGAGCCTCATGATCATGGAGACCTATGATACTCAACACGAATATTAATTTACTACATACTGAAAAATTTTAAATCAACAAATAAACAGATGTTCCTCATTCTCAGTCACTGGGGAAATTCAGATCAAAACCAGGTGTAAGATACTACTTCACAACCACTAAAGTAACAAGTGTAGCAAGTATACACAGAAACCAGAACCCTCAATACACTGCTGATAGGAAAGTAAAATGGTACAGCAACTTTGGGGAATCGTTTGGTAGTTTCGCGAAATGCTAAATAGTTGCCATATGAATCAGCAATTCTACTCCTCTCTGAAAACAAACATGTCCTTGCAAAAACTTACACATGAATGTTCACAGCAGCATATTCATGGCCAAAAAGTGGCTAATCATAATAGCCAAAAGCCCATCAAGTCATGAATGAATGGGCAAATGTGGTCATTTGTATCCACACAATGGAATATTCAGTGATAAAAAGGAATGAAGTGCTGATACATGCCCTAACATGAATGAACCTTAAAACATGCTAAGTGATAGAATCCAGCCAGAAAAGGTCACATAATGGTACAACTGCAATTAACATGAAATGTCCAGAACAGATGAATTATTCAAAGACAGAGAGAGGAAACAGAGCATGAATGATGAAAATGTTCTAAAATTGTGATGGTTACACAACTCTCAATATACTAAAAAGCACTGAACTGTACCTTTTTAAATAAAGGATAAATTTTATGGTATTAAACTTGTATCTCAACAAAGCCGTTATCGCCTACTGAAAACTTCAAATTTAATTTTTAAACTTTAAATGGACGTTAACTCAAATTGCTTTAATTAGTTAAATTTTAAATCACAATTCTACACAAATACCTGTTTGTACACCAGTATCCTTCTTAGGAGAAATCGCAGAATTGATACATGAATTCATTTCACCACTGACATCAGAGTAATGTCTTGAATCTGAAGTATTGTTAGTGGATGTATTATATTCCACTTGTATTTTATCAACTGGCAATGAGAAATAAATTATCTGATAAAAATGACATTAAGGAATATTAATAGAAATTTTCTACAGTAGCAACTAGTCACAAGACTTTTAATTTAATCAATCTGAATGAACATGGCAGTAAAAATTTAGACAAGCCAACCTACATTTTCTTACAGAAAGTTACCTACCTTTTTAATAAAAATGGGCCCAGAAGTTCACATTTTACTTGTGTCATAGGATTACTATGAGCAATATAAGATGTGAAAAGATACCAAAAAACATAACATTATTTAGTTCTATTTTTAAAGCAACTTTCCAAATAAATATTTCTACTTATAAAGTTAAAGTCTGAAATGCCTTTAAAAATATTTAGTTAATACATGTATTAAAGGTATAAAATAATTACTTAAAATCATCTTCAAAAGATACGATAAGCACTTACTGCCAAGATTTTTAATCAATTTAGAGGTGTCATGTCCTTTGAGAGCCAATTCTCGGATTCTCTGTTCTTGTTTTAGTCTCTGGGCCAGTTCCTGTGCTCGCTGCATTGTCTGGAATAGCTCATTTGTCTTAAGAGTCATAATTTCCTATCAATAATAAATTATTAAGTACAACAGTTAATAAGTATAATTATTAAACACATATAGACTTTGTTATTCTCTTCTTGGTAAATATTTTCTAATTTTCTCCTGTATGTCAGAGACTAGGTAGGTACTACAGGTAGAATAGTCAACAGGGCAAAGTCTTCACCCTTTTGGAGCTTATCTTTTTCTACAGCTACATTAAATCACAAATAAAAGAACTCTTCTTACCCATTTCAAGTTTATACTAATAATATTTTCAATGTTTTAAAAACTGATGGTCAATTCTATTCTATTAAATTTAAAAATAGATGTTGGGTGGCGCCTGTGGCTCAAAGGAGTAGGGCGCTGGCCCCATATACTGGAAGTGGCAGGTTCAAACCTAGCCCAGGCCAAAAACTGCAAAATAAAAAAAAATAAAATTGATGTTAAAAGGTAAAATACAAGTCTTACTGCTACTTCTGACAGTTCTAGCAAATGATAGTACTTTATTGATTTCCTCGTGTAGATGGTTAACATATGGGGTTGCCGGGTGCAGTGGCTCATGCCTGTAATCCTAGCACTCTGGAAGGCCTAGGTGAGTGTATTGCCTGAATTCACAAGTTTGAGACCAGCCTGAGGAAGAGCAAACCCCCATCTCTGAAAAATAGCCTGACAGTGTGGTGGGTGCCTGTAGTCCCAGCTACTCGGGAGGCTGAGACAAGAGAATTGCTTGAGCCCAAGAGTTTGAGTTTGCTGTGAGCTGTGACACTACAGCACTCTACCAAGGACTACAAAGTGAGACTGTCTCAAAAACAAAACAAGACAAAAAAACATGGGGTAGTTGGCTTAGCCTATTCAACTTAAGGAAATTGGAACCAAGACCATGTGTCCCTTTACCAGACAATTTTAGACTGAAGATGGCCAAGTGAGAAAAGGCAAGAAAATGCAGACTCTGTGCGGTACTCTTTAAACCTTTTAATCTTTAGCAAATGAATGTCTTTGTCAGGTCAACCCAGATATGGCACTTGACATCACCATCCCCATCTTGTCTATAGCAGTTATTACAGAGCTTTTCTTAGACAACCAGGTGTCTACTCTCGTTTCCTGTTTAGCACATAGGAAACATAATATGACCACAAATTGTATCATGAATCTCAAGTCACTCTGGAAATAATATGCTCCTGTTCACAAATTAAAGAAACTAGAAAAATTACAAAATTGCATAGAAATAAAGCACAGATAACCCCTAGTATCTAGTAGTAGATAAAGATCAAGCACATCATATGGGTAGCTTTTGCTTTGTGCTACAACTCACCTTGACCTGCTTTAACAAAAAGAAAAAGTCCAAGCCAAACCCACATAGCATTTGTAAACTATAATGTGAAATAATGAAATCTCAATCTTCTTTAAAACGCATACAAACGTACAACTTCTGGTTATTTTTCCTTTAAAAGTATCTATTTTACTCTAAAATGTTACAGTTAGAATAGAAATACCTACTTCCTTTTGTTTTTGCTTAAGAATATCTTCTTCATACTGCTTCTGCATCTTTTCTCGTTCTCGTGCTAAGCGACGCTCCTCTTCTTGTTCTTCCTTCTTTCTTTGCTCTTCTTCCTGTTGCTTCTTCCTGCGCTTCTCTTCTACTTGAGCAGTGATGGCTTTCTAGTCAACCAATCACATAAATCATTGTCAGAAATAAAAATCCATGAAGCAGCATTCAGGCTGGGCACAGTGGCTCATGTCTAATCCCACTACTTTGGGAGGCTGAGGCCAGAGGACAGCTTGAGACTAGGAGTTTAAGAGGCAAAGTCCCCACCCTTTTGGAGCTCACTGGGCAATACAGTGAGATCCCATCTCAATAAAAACTAAAAATGAAATTAAAGAAATTAAAAGAAATTTTATCATTGTCAGGCATGGTGGGTCATGTCTGTAATCCTAGTACTTTGGGAGCATAAGGCAGAAGGATCACTTGACATCAGAAGTTCAAGACCAGCCTAAAACAAGAGCAAGACCCCTGTCTCTACAAAGGAATAGAAAAATTGGCCAGGTATGGTGGCATGTGCCTATAGTCCCAGCTACTTGGGAGGCTGAGGTGAGAGAATTACTTGAGCCCAGGAGTGTGAGGTTGCTGTGAGCTATGCTGATGCCACTGAACTCTATTCCAAGCAACAAAGTGATACCCTGCCTATAAAAAAGAAAAAGAGAAGTTTTATCAGTATACAGAAAATGTTATGTTATTATGTATCTGAATAAAATGAAAATATCAAATTTCTGATGCATTTCTCCCATCTCCCACTTGTCCTGTCAAGTTCTACAACCTTTTCTCTCTCTCTTTTTTTAATAAACTTCCTATTTAAAACTTTAAGTACATTTTTTTTTTTAATCTCAGGAGGGCTGTTAGAAGAAATGATAGAAAAACAACTGAATGCCTGTAATCCTGCACTTGGGAGGTTGAGGCGGGGAGATTGCCTGTGCTCACAGGTTCAAGGCCAGCCTGAGCCAGAGTGAGATGTTGTCTCTAAAAATATCTGGCTGTTGTGGCGGACACCTATAGTCCTAGCTACTTGGGAGGCTGCCACAAGAGAATCACTTGAGCCCAAGAGTTTGAGGTTGCTGTGAGCTATGACACCATGGCACTCTACTGAAGGCAACAAAGTGAGACTCTGTCTCCAAAAAAAAAAAAAAAAGAAAGTGAAAAGAAAAACAACTGAAGAAATAAGCTTAGGGCTTAGCACACTGCCTGATAAGTCACAGCTGCTCTATAAATGTCTGCTCGCTGATGTAACTGTAACATTATGCCAAATTAATCAAACAACAAAGATTTTAAAGAATTATTTAGATGTTTAAGTCCCTTTTGTATTTGACTCAAATTGGAGTTTTAATATTAGCCTCTCTTAATCTGCTAGATTTTTTTTTTTGAGACAGAGTCTCACTTTCTTGCCCCCAATAGAGTGCTGTAACTTCATAGCTCACAGCAACCTCAAATTCTTGGGGTCAGCCTCCTTAGTAGCTGGGACTACGGCACCCACCCACAACACCCAGCTAATCTTTCTATTTTCAGTAGAGATGGAGGTCTTGCTCTTGCTCAGGCTAGCCTCAAACTCCTAAGCTCAAATGATCTGCCTGCCTTGGCCTCCCAGAATGCTAGAATTACAGGTGTGAGCCACTATACCAGCCCTGTTAGATTTCTTTATCATAATTCTACTTCAAGCCCCTATATAGTTTCCTTTTAAATAACTAATTCTCATCCTGAGCAGAACGCAGAAAAAAATAAATTGATGAAAAAACATCCAATACTAACTTGAGAGAGTACAAATTCATTCAACTTATGTGTATACATATTCATATATATATATATATATATATTTTTTTTTTTTTTTTTTTTT